TGACTACAACGCTAAGCATCAATCTTGGGGCTGTTGGGCCAATAACCCTAGAGGACTTGTCCTATATAACTTTGTCACAAATAATAATTTTAAAGTACTGGTCCCATCTGGGCCAAGTTATTGGTCAACTTCCATAAGAAAAAACCCTGATATTCTGGACATATTCGTTACAAAAATTCCCAACAGTATACATAATATCATTGAAAACCTTTTAGATCTAAACTCTGATCACTCCTCTATACTTCTAACCTAAAACACCTGTCCATCAAATCACCCCCAACAACCTAAACTATTCTCACACCGATAAGCTCCTACTCCATAAACTTGTCTAACAAGAAATTAAATTAAATGTGAAATTAAAATCTACTGATGACATCGACTTAGCAATTAACGATCTCACTAACTGCATACAAACAGCTGATTGGGCAGCCACAAATTTAAATGAACTCTCCCAAGTAACTAATCCAACTCCCCTAAATATAAGAATTATCATAGCCTAAAAATGTAGATCAAGAGCTCAATATCAGTCAATATCACTCAATATCATTATCAGAACTAGACTTCCGCCGGATAAACACAAATACTATAAGTTGGCAAATAAACTAAAAAAAAATCTCATTAAACACAAACTAGAATCATTTGAAAACCACTTATTTTAATCTTTCAAATAAAGACGGAAGTCTTTGAAAGATTACCAAACAACCCATCTATATAATACGTTCCAAACCCATGAAAGTATAATAAATAATGACATTATCAACTCAGTAAACCAGTTTCTAGACGCTCCTCTTCCACTTTCTACCCCTGTCAAACATTTCTCACCAAATTATGTTAAATATATTATTCAAAAATATCCCAATCGAAAACCTCCGGGTTATAATCTACTCACCGCTGAAGTTGCTAAGCATCTTCCAAAAAAAGCTATAGTTCACCTCACTCATATTTATAATGCTATATTAAGACTCTCCTATTTCCCAACTGTTTAGATGTTCTCATCTATTATCCTTTTTCCAAAACCCAACAAACCCCCAGACTTGGTCATGTCTTACAGACCTATAAGTCTTCTACCGTTCTTCGCAAAAATTCTTAGGAAAATAATTCTTAAACAAACTTTACCAAGCATAAGTGAAAATAAAATACTTCCTGATCATCAATTCGGTTTCCGTCAATCGCATTCTACAATCCATCAAGCCCATAGGATTATTGATGCGATTTCTTTCTCCCTAGAGAAAAAATTATATTGCACCCGTGTCTTTCTAGATACATCGCAAGCATTCGATAGGGTGCGGCATAATGGCCTGCTATTTAAACTCAACAAAGTCTTACACCCTTCCTACTACCTTCTCATTAAATCATACTTAACAGACCGCAACTTCCGAATGTGTTACGGCTCCTCTGTCTCTAACATAGCCTCTATAAATGCAGGTGTTCAAGGAGGTAAACTTTCCCCGATACTATACAACATTTACGCATCAGATCAACCTACCACACCTCACTCGCTAATCGCAGAATATGCAGACGAGAAAATAATAATTTCTATCAACGCAAACCCTCCGGTAGCTTCTAAACATTTACAAAATCACCTAAATCTTATGGAAAAATGGTATACCAACTGGAGATTCAAAGTAAATCAAGATAAATCCTTTCACACCACATTCACTCTAAAAAATTCTCCATGTCCAAACATTAATCTCTACGGAATCCAAATTCCCTCTTCCCTAACAGTAAGATACCTAGGACTTCTATTAGACCGCCGTCTAACTTGAGCCCTACACATAAAATCAAAAAAGTTACAATTAAAGAATCGCTTACGCACACTAAGCTCACTGCTATACAGAAACACACACACTAACCTTAACATCAAATTAATAATATATAAAGCTCTTCTAAAATCAATCTGGACCTACTGGCTCTAGCTCTGGGGCAGTGCAAAAAAATCAAATATACAAAAAATGTAAAGTTTTCAAATCATCTCACTAAGAAAAATAACAAATGCCCCTCCCTTTGTTTCCAATCTTACACTCCATAATGATCTAAAAATAACAAAAGATGATGAAAAAAATTGATGAAGCAAAATGCTACTATAAAAGATTTCACCAAACTAACCTTTTCATTCTAATCCTCTTATTAAAAAACTATTTACCTTGTCCATTCCAGGTAATCCCCCTAGGTCTCTTAAGTAAAGATGGTATTGTGACCTTCTATCTTAAATCTAAAATTAACTTAACTTAAAACTTAAAAAAAACTCAAAATAGGTAGTGTCACTTATGGGCTTTTTCTCTCAAATAGTTTATATTTATTTACTCTATGCACATTTGCTTATTGTTTAAGTTAAGAACAGATTGTAAATATCTTATAAAAAAAAAAAACTTTTTTTAAAATATTTAATACTTATACTTATATTATTTTATTGTTTTGAAATTTTGCTTTGCTGCTGATATTACCTACATTATTCACCTGCCTTCAACATTTTGATTACCAAACGGTTTTTTTTAAAGACCAACCATTAATTTATAATTTGTTTTGTGTTTAATATTTTTTTAAGTTTTTTTTTTAGCGCATGTGTTCAGATATGGCTTTTAGACATCACGACTATGTCATTCCAGTCAACCATGATGAGGAAGGAGAAACCAGTTCTTTGTAGAATTTCAGCAGTGCAAAGATGGCTTAAAAGTAATAATTGTTTAATTTTTTTTTTATATATATATATGTATATGTTAGAACAAAGAACTGGCTTTATTAAAACTGACAAAACACAAAAACTAACAATACACTCTTATTACCCAGACGTCGGTAGTAACATCAGAGAGTGACTGTTGCAGGAAGTAAAAGCGCTAAGGCGCCAGAAACCAAGACAGCTAGACAGTGTTGCCAAGTCACTAACAGATATATAATTAGTTTTTTGTGTTTCAACTATGGTTCATTTCTGTAAATTGTATGTACTTTACTAGGTTAAAAATGAAATGTCTAGAAAAGAGAGGAAAAATATTTCTATAATGATAAGAGGATGTGTACAGCTGCTGAATCAATACGGTGACTTATTGTTGTTTTTGAGGAGAACTGGTCACCATAATAATGGTTATGTTCAACGACAAATCGGGCCATATCCTAATATATAATATATTACATTCTTATTGTTTTCATGTACTGTAAACTAATTTTATTATTGTTTTTTATACCTTGTAATATATACAAATAGTTATTGTTAAATCAAGTTGACAATTAAACACATGTTTTTTTTTACTTTTAAGCTATATTTCTTCAGTATTTCATAAGTAGTTTTACAAGGTAAGTCTAATTTAACTTAAGTTTCTGCTGCAATTTCTATATTAAATTTCATAATATTTATTAGTCATTAAAATCTTAATGTCGTTATTCATCTAAAAATGTTTTCCTCGTAACTAGCATTACCATGTACATATTGTAAAATTAAACCCAACTTGCTTTACTGTATGTGGTTAGTTTTTCTGTTGATTCAGTAGGTCATTCAATTTGAATAGATTTGATTAATTTTAATTTAATGATACATAGTCTGTTAGATAATCTGATAATTGCTTATCTTTACCTTGATATATACAAAAGTGTTTTATATATTAATTTATGTATATATTCAGTCATGTACATTTAATTTTCTTATGAAGGGGGAATTTAAATGACATATATTAGTGTATATATTTATCAGAAGATTTCACCTAAACAGTCATTTTTATCATAAATCATAATACTTTTTTTGTATTCCTGAGGGGGGGATTTATCCCAAAATCCCTCTACGTATGTACGCCATTGTACTTATAAACAAAAAGAAAAAACATTAAGTCATATTTATGTGCTGAATACTGCAGTCTCCGAAATTAAATCGATAAAATGTATAAAAAAAGCACAACCGATTTTAAAATAATGTTTATTTAATCGGTAGATGGTACTCTTGAGTACCCATCAGTTAAAAACGCAAAAAAATTGTTCACTGAATTTTATACATATTTTATTTCGCTGGATTTGTAAGTAACGTGGATCTACATAGAGTTAATATATTTTCACATTATAATTATAGTACCTATTAATATTATTATTATTCAAAATAAATATGATTATCAATGGAAATTTCTTTTTGGATCTGCTAATTACAAAACATGAGTAAATTCATGATATAACGTCGAAACAACAATGAACCTTGGCCATTGGCTCACACTTGGTAAGTCCATATTTTAATACATTTATTTGTCACATCAAATTTTTGAAATTTGCCCTGCAATAAGCGGGGCCTACAACTCGCTAAATTGTCCAAACTGATACTTTTGGTCATTCCACAAATCTTGAATACATTTTATTTTGCAATAATATTTGAATTGGAAAATAAAAAAAATATTTTAGGTTGGTGTCACTACGGCGGCAAAATTGGTGGGATTTTTACATTTCGATATTGGTACTTTAGATTTTTTGATTTTTTTGTTATCTCATGTTATTATCACGGGGAAACAACTGTCTGATGGCCATCATCTAACATTAAATACAACTTTGTAAGATTGACTTGCTAATGTATGAACTTATGAGCCCTGGTTATAACAATAAAGAAATTACTATTCAATCACTTTTTTCAAAGAAAAAATTGAAATTTTAAATTATAAAATGTTTTTAAACATTTGTGTGTATATTTTTACCAGAACTTTGAACTTAAAAATACATTTCAGTGGTGAGGGAAGGTAGTGGAATCTTTTGCATACCTGAAAAATAGGTCTGTGCACGCCTATGACATTTATCTACTATACTTATTTCAGTATTATAAGCAGCACACAAATATTTACACATAAACAATAGTTTTTTCACTGCATATAATCCATGATAAAATTATTATTAGGTATGTTTTACTTATGAATCGTGGCGAACTACCGTGCAAGGTGTCAGTGTAACCGCATTTAAACAGAAACTATGCAAAGCCCCATAATTGCTGTTAGTCACCAAAGTACGACGTGGTTTAAATCACGTATCTTGCCGCGCTGATGATATCACCAATCCTTTTCTTATCATTTCGAATTCCGATCACGTTAGAATATCAAATTGCCGCCGACGACTCGTACTTTTCCCTTGTATTCGGTAAAGCTGTATTTTGTTATTAAAATTATTTCAGATTCAATACCGTTTCTGATTTATTCGTTTGAACGTTTGGTGCCATTTAGAACTGTTTTTTACGAACTTATTTTTCTTCAAAACGTAAATATCGTCTGAGTTACTTGGATTGCACGTTTTTGTCGACCTAGTTTGAACCATTCGTCGTTGTTCTGAGACAATGGTATTGAAAATAATTTCTTCCACCGTGAAAACGGTTTACAGGGTGACGTGCTTCAAGCTTAAGGATGACGAAAAATTTAGGTGAGTATTTGCTAGAATTTGTTGTCAGTATATATCGTCCTTTTTGACTAAAAACATTTTAGTAGATTGTTGGTTACTCATTTTGTGCTGGCTTAGCCTTTTTATTTACTGTTACAAACAAAATAATTTAGGATTCAATTAACTATTTGTTGTATTTGTGATACAAGCTGTACATTTTCTAAACCATATACCTTTCTCATACGGTTATTTATTTGATTAATCATGTATATATGTAATTAATCAATAATAATTATTTTATTTACAAATAAAATAGTAAAATATGGTTGTACGATTAATGGTGTTAATCTATTTCAGATTAATTCCTGGAATATTCATTGCATTAGGTGTGTCTTATAGCACTGTAGCAGCAAAATCATTAGCTGTTAACAACTTCATGGCAGACACTGTGACAGACTTAAAAACATTGGAGAGTAGACCTGAAGATATGAAAACTAAAATGGAACTAATGATTATGAATATACAGGTAAATTATTAACTGATGTTTACTCATTTTATGACCATTTTTTTATACCTTTAAGGCAGAATTTTGTCGTTCTCTTGAAAAAGAAGAAACCATAACAAAATTCCATGTAGATCGATGGATAAGACCGGAAGGTGGCGGTGGAGTTACATGTGTATTGCAGGAAGGAGAGGTTTTTGAAAAAGCTGGGGTCAATGTATCTGTGGTTCATGGTAATTTACCTCCTAGGGCTATAGATCAGATGAGAGCTAGGTAATTGAATATCTTAACAATATATGTATATATAATAATAATATAATAATATATTATTTAATAAATACATACATGTAAATTGGATTGTCCTACATTAAGCAACTAGATGATAAAAAAATATTTATAGATGTTAAATCATGGTAGAATAAAACAGATTGTTAGATATTGTTGGTATTTTTACTTTGATTCAGATTTTAATGAAGAAAATAGAATTTAAAAATGTTATTTATTTTTAAAAATCTGCTTTAAATAATACATAAAGTACTTTGAATGTATGTATAAAATTATTTTCAAATTAATTCCAGCTATTGAAGTGTATAAATTGTATTTAATACATTGAAACATTTATTTCACCTCATTGTGTCATATTATGTCATAACCTCTGTTTGAAAGTATAAAACTTATGCTTATATTTTCTTACAATTAAAAAGAAAACCTTTAATCAAAATAACTATTGCTGATTTTATTTTAATGATTTTTTTTTTTCAAGCAATCAGATTAATATAATATACTCAGAACTCATTTGTTGTAGGGGTAAAAACTTTCAAGGTGGTCAAGTACTTCCATTCTTTGCTGCAGGCGTCAGTGCAGTAATACATCCTCGTAATCCTTATGTGCCAACTATACATTTTAACTATAGATATTTTGAAGTTACTTTACCTGACAACACAGTAGAGGTAAACATTTAATAATTGTTTACTATAAGTATGTATCATTTTATTTTATAATTACGTATGAACTTAGTAGTTTAATTATTAACTGTACATTTATAATAAACATTTATATTTAATTATTAATAATTACTATTATATAACTATTCTAAGCCTTGTTAATTGTTGTAGTGGTGGTTTGGTGGAGGTACTGATTTAACACCATATTATTTGAACGAGGATGATGCTGTTCATTTTCATAGCTCATTGAAAAAAGCTTGTGATCAACATGACAAAACATATTATCCCAAATTTAAACGTTGGTGCGATGAATATTTCAATATCCCACATAGAGGAGAACGAAGAGGAGTGGGTGGAATATTTTTTGATGATTTAGACACTCCATCTACATTTGACTTTGTAAAAAGTTGTGCCCAAGCAGTTATTCCTTCATATATACCTCTTGGTATTATATTACAATGTCAACTTTTATCAAATATTTATACTAATCTAAACATATTATTTATATAGTACAAAAACATAAAAATGATTCATATGGTCAGGAAGAAAGAGAATGGCAGTTGTTGAGACGAGGACGGTATGTTGAGTTCAATTTGATTTATGACAGAGGTACAAAATTTGGTCTTTACACACCAGGAGCTAGGTACGAAAGTATTCTCATGTCACTTCCTTTGTCTGCAGTAAGTTTTTAAATATAATTATACTTTGATAATAATATGTAATTTATATATATATATATATATATATATATATATATTATCTTACTATATATTAGGGGTAGGCAAGTGGCGGCCTGCGAGCTTTTTCAAAATTTGATTTTACATTTTGCTATTTAAAAAGGCTATACAATTACTGCCACCAACTATCAAACACTGGCGCAACGGCAATTCAATATGATTATAAATCTGTGTCTCAAATTTGGTCTCAATGGTTTAAATTTTTGCATTATTTTGTCTTCTATTTAATAATTAATAATCAGTTCATAGTATGAAAAATTTGTTTGATAAAGCATGATACAAATTTACTAGGATAAATATTTCACTTTTGATAATGCTAAAAAGCACCTTTACCACTTTAAGAATACTATACAATTGAATATATACAATTGAATACTTAACAAATTTTTATATCTATTGTAATTAAATGTATCTTAGAACTGGAAGTACATGCACAACCCAGACTCAAATAGCAGAGAAGGAAAATTAACTGAAGTTCTACGAAACCCAAAGGATTGGATAAAAATAGATTGAAATATTCTTTAAAGTTAAAACAACAATGGATTAAAATTTTAAAAAATTCTATTTGGAATTTTGTATTACTAAAATAATTTATTATGGTTAATAATCAATTATTTAAGATTTGGTTATGGATTAGAATTAAGTTTAAACATGAACTTCTAAAAAATGTTATTTAAAATGTTTTTTCTATGTTACATTAATGGTATTTTTGTGTATTTTAAACAGATTATAAATCGATTATTGTTGTTAGAAAATTATTTTTGTTATTATACGTATTGTATTTATTCTTAAATTACTTTTAAGTAATTATTTTATTAGTTTAATCTTCGATGTTAAATAGTTAATTTATTGGAACAATATATAATTGATTATTTAATTTTAATTTAATTTATCACAAAACTTTAAATATAATTTTTTATTTAATTAATTATACAATAAATATATTTCAATCCTATATTTTTTTTATAATAAATTAGTAAATAATTCAATATTTCGGTAATTATGTAATAATAACATAATTTATATTAATAAACCATTTTTTATAACAAAAATATAAATGTATGTACATAATCAAGGAGAAAAAATTTTTTTAAGTATTTCTTTAATTAAAAAACACTTCAGTCTAAAAACAAATCATTAAAAATATCATCATCAGCAGGATCCATTTCATTGTCTACTTCCATAGCTCTTTCGTCTGTACTAACAAACAAATCATCTATTACACTTTTTCCAATAATAGAATCTTCAAGACCGTGCTTATTCTCCAAGATATAAGTCATTACAAAATTATCACAAATGACTGTATTGGTTTTACTTTGATCAAATTGATCACGAACATTCATTGACTGTGACAACTTCCCTTTATGTTCCAACCATTTTGAATATAAATAAACAATATCTTCATCGCCTATATAATAATAATAATTTAGCTATAAATAATATTTCATTTTTTTAATCCAAAATATAAAAAGGAAAGCTCAAAACACGAGTCACAAGTGCCTGATTATTTTTCGATTACAACCATATAGTTATAATGAATGAATAATAATGATTATAGTATTCTTATATTTACACATACTGATTATGTCCTAATGTGTATTAAATTCTACCCACTGATAAATTTTGTATGGTAATAATAACAATCAGATAAAAAATTTTATGTTAAAAGTCTACCTGCATTAAATGTAAGTGCCTTTTTGAATGCGGCTTCACAATCATCATCGTTGTTAAGCCTACTCAAAACTGTGGCTTTTAGTAACAATATTTTACCTATGAGAATTTGTCGTAGGATTTTAATACTTTTGTCATGACTATTAGTTTCTGTTGGATAACTGATTTTTTCATATAAACAATTATAAGACCTGTAATTAAAAAGTTATAAATAAAATATCCATACCATAGGCACTGCCAAGAATTTCATCAGTGGGGTGCATCATGTATAGTATAAGCGCTGATTTCTAAATAATGTTTAAATTATTTAAGTTCAATATTTTTTCATATTGTCTGACAGTACAAAATTAAATAATTTTTTTTTGAATAGTTTTTTTTTTCACGGTTACAAAGTAATGCAGACTACTAGAAAATCCAATAATTATAATAATAGCCTCTATCCTACATTTTTAAATTTCATTATTTTTTTTAAATCCAGGGGGTTGTAAAGCACTCCCTTACATCCCTCTAGTAGTGCCCATGATCCATACACAAAGTAAAAGAAGTATACTTGTTTAGTGCTTCCAAAACTGTATCTGTATTTTTATTGAGACCTGTTTCAGCCAGCAACATGGTTCCAACTACATTGAAATTATAATCATTGAGTTCATCGGCCCAAAATGAATCGCTCTTCCACAGACCACATCCTGGTTCAAACTCTCCAATTAAGGATTGACACATTTTAAAAGCTAATTCTATTTCTTGAGCTTTTATAAGAACTACAACTGCTTCATGTTGAAGCATAAAATTTGTTGGAACTGTCACCAAGTTGGAAACATATTGGTCATTCTTATTTAATTTCAAAAGATTTAAATAATCAGACGCTGATACTCTGTAACTCTGTAACATTTATTTAAAATATCAACAGTATTTAACTGCAATGTAGAAAAACAAGAATTCAAGATAAAACTCACACTGTATTCATATTTCTTTTTAGCTGTCATATAGAGTAGTTGCCTTTCAGTTAAATCCGGTTGGGGATATAATATAGTAAGGGCCTTTGTTGTATAACTGTTAAAACAATTTTCATGCTTATCTTTTCTGAGATCATAATTTTCCTAAACAATAGTTTAAATGTATAAAAATGTACTAAATTTTGCTTTTTATATTACCTTTAAAGTATTTTCCAGTACCATGATTTGTGTAAACTGCATGTTATTTATTTCGTAATGTTGTGACATGTAATAAGCCATAATTTTATTAAATTTTGTTTCTTTTAGTTTTTCAAATGCAGTTATTGCTAAATCACTATTACCTATTTTTGAATGAGTTCTCCCAAGCAATAAAAAATATCTTGATTTAATAAAAGGCTCCATTAAACAGTTGACCATTTCTGATAAATAATACAATGTCACTTCAAACTCCTCTAAATTAAAATTTACTAAAGCCTTTAAATAACACATCAAACAGTACAACTCATCATTAGAATCCATATATTGGTCTACTGTACTCAATGTACATAAGGCTTGTCGATGTTGGTTTTCCAAAACATATTTGATACATAAAGACACGTGACTACTAACAATTATGGTTTTGATGTTCTCAATATCAAGAAAAACATTAATTTTAGAAAGTCCAAATTTAAAACAATTGGAAATTTGGTTGAATTTTTTATGTTTAAAAACAACCGCAATAGTTTTGAATTGATCAAGAAACTGTACAGTAAACTGCACTAAGAGTGAATCAAAACTGCATCTAGACAAAAACACTAATAACAATATCTGTGAGATTTCTAGACATTGGACTACCAGTATTGGTTTTAAACTAAGAAACCTATTAGACAGGCATTCTAAACTATTGAGTATATCTTCCTCATGGTTCACAAATGAACTCAAATTTGCAATACTATTTCCATTTTCATATAACACTGAAAACCATTAGAATATATTGAGTGATATTAATTACCAATAACTGTTTTATTCCACTAACCTTGATGTAGACATTCACTGATTATTGTCATTATTTTATTATAACAATAATCCAACACATCAATTGGTTTCCACCAATACCAATGCAATGCATTACACACAAAGTTAACACGCAGTTCTAATGGAATGTGCTTCTCGTACAAATAAAGTTCAGCAATGTTAATAATTTCTGACATTTTGCTAACATATTCTGTATCGATGGTAATTAAAGTTTTCTGGTTTAAAAAATTAAATTTATATAAAATAAAACGTTTTGAAAAATTACAATTAGTTGAATTTCAAAAATTACATACCAGACAATTGCAGATGAGCAGATTGTTTCTCAATATTATAAATTCAACTTCATTTTGTAAAGAAATGTTTTTTAAATAACAACTATCTACTGAACTCTGAAGAAGCTCACAGCATTTGATAAACTTTCCTTTTCGGAATAGTTCAGACGAAGAAGACATAATTTCATTGATATTCATTTTTTTTTTTTTTTTACTACTCAGCAGTCACGAATTAATTGTACCTGGAATAAAACCAAATAAAACCATAAAACCAAACAAAAACCGAAATTCCAAACTATAATCAAGTAAGAATATTTAATTTGGTTGCAAATGTCAACTGTATTATAAAATTGTATAATAAAATCGTACATGAAATTTAAAGTAAGCACATTAAGTTGTTTTCAAAAACGAATTAATACTAATAAAAGTAAGAATATCAGTCGTATTAAAAAAAAAAAAAAAAAAACATTGGCGGGAAATATAGCGATAATAATGTTGATAATACAAATCTGTATATATATAAAATGACCTGGGTGAATAATCATCGCCTAGCCGAAACCACTGAAGCTATAGCTCATATATGAGTACCTACCTATGAAATTTGGACAGTAGTTTTGTGTTTCCAGAAATACGAAATGTATATCAGTGCCGCAATTAAAATATAGGAGGCCCGTGTGCGGTAATTATATTGGGCCCCTTTAGCCTAACCTAGGATTTATTTTTGTTTAATTAAGTATCAATTTTTTTAAGTTTTAAAGCACGTTTTACATCAAGTTAGTGCAGTGGTCTTCAACCGGTGGGTCGCGATAAGTTTTCTGTTTAAAATTTAAAAAATTCATATTTATATATTTATTTGTATACATTATATAATGTATGTCATATGATATTGCATAAAAATGTTTTCGAATAAACTCGAAACCATACTATTTTATATTATTTTAAATTTATAGAAGATTAGAATGAACAATTTTTTCTTAAACACTCATACTTAATTAGAAAAAATCCTCAAACCAATACGCAACACATACCACTAATCATTAACAGTCGAACACATAGTGGAGGAGTGTACACAATTTACCTTAATACGCACCGACCTGAACATGTCATCCAACATAGTAAAAATACTTAATGAAAAACAAACTCTGAAAATTGTCACATTAATAAGTATCACAAATATATTAGCAAATCTTAATTTACATCTAACTTCACCTTTATAATATTTCATATGTAATATTGTAATTTTAAATCTAACACCTAACACATTAAATATTTAAAATCTAATAGCTAATAATATTTGTTGTTGAAACCTCAATTTTCTAATAAAAGAAAATAAAGAATGAACAATCAAATGAAGTGATAGCCCGACTTAATTTATAAATCTTATTTATATTTTATATATCTATAAACTGCATTGTTTTAAATTGAGCTGAGGTGGAGGTATTTCGTGTGAAAACAGTCCAGGACAAATATCGCACTCATTTCTTTTGTGTATCAAAACATACATTTTTCGGTATCATTACATGCATTTTTTTTTTTTTGTATCATTATTTATATTAAAAATTAAATATTTCCTAAATACCTAAAAATTATAGATTTTGATTTGTTCAGTTATAAAAGCACTTCTAAAATGGTATACATTAAACAATTGTAACATTTTTATTTGGTTTTCACGGCTAACGAAATTTACATGGGTCCCGAAAAATGTTTGGTAAGAAAAGTGGGTCGCAGGTCGAAAAAGGTTGAAGATCACTGAGTTAGTGTATGATATATGTATATATATATATATATATATCAAACTAAATACCTATAACTAGGGAACGGATTTATATGTAAATGCAAATTTTTATTAAAACGAGATATTTAAGATTCGATAAGAAATGTTTATGATTTAAATCATTCCTATTAAAATTATGGTACTTTTATTTTACATATTTTTACATATTTCACTAATTTTTAAATATTTTTAAACATATTTTTATCATTTCATCATTCATACGTCTTCTTCGTACGAAAATACAAGAAATTATTTCAAAATTAGATCCAGAAACTTTTATCGCTATTGGAAAAGCTCAAAATATTATGCAAAATGAAACATTAAAAATAATTTAATTTTAATTAAAAATAATTTAACAAAATTATTAATAAAAAATATGTCCCCAAATGATAGTATGCAAATTGTTGAATCAACGATTAAAACTCGTAAGCGGACCAATAGATGTCGTAAAAAAGAAAATTCATGCTGTTACAGAAAAAAATTCCAGGCAATATTGATTTTAAAACAATCAATGACATAATGAATGGCAGACAACCTTTTAAAAATTTGGAATTATCGCCTTCTGATAGTATGCACTTGAAATATGCTTTTAATACATCGGTTGATGTGAAACGATAATTTAGCAGTTTTAAAAATATTTTGATACCTAATAGGCGACATTTAGCATTTGATAATTTACAAGATATTGTAATAATTCAATGCAACAAATCTTTTTGATAATTTAATAATAATAATCACTTTTTTTTTTTAATTTTTTTTTCCTCACATATTTGGATGTTTTTAGCACATATTTTATAAATTATACTTACATATATATGTACATATTTCTATATTTTTATTACATATAAATCCGTTCCCTACCTATAACCAGTGGTGTATTGGAGAGTATCCGGGGGTATACGGCATATACCCAATACGCTATTTTTATCCATGGCATATAGCAGAGGTTCCCAACCTTTTTTGACTCATGGCACCCTTTATTATTTTATAAAAATTTGGAGGCACCCTATAGCCTATGTCATATACTCTATAGTTTATACTGAATACGCTATAGTAATATATCGTATATTTAAATTTATATTTTGTTACTTCGATTTTATTTAGCATTAATAAACAATAACGATAAGATAAAGTCACAAGTATTTCACCGTAAATAACTTTAAAACAGTTCACATCAAATCTACAGCAATCGAACCAGTATGAAAATTAAAATAGATGAATTATTTGAATTATTTGTTACCTCCTTAGAAATGTATAGCCAAAACCGCCATTGTCACAATTCGAGAATGTGTAATGATGCTAAACGTGGCGTACCGGCGTTTTAATCCTATAGATTGCTAGTAATATATCATAAACATATTAGAATCTAAGATTAGAGATAGTCGATTTATTTCTAAATTTTACTAGGTACGCTTTTTTTTTTAAACAAAAAAACCAAGTTTTTATTTAAAACCAAGTTCATATTTAAGTGCTAGGATATTTTTTAATTTCTTACAGCAACACTCCCCTATTCCCGTACTTTATTAATTCTTTTATGAGTGTACTATACACCTCTTTGAATAATACATCAATATTCTTATATGTGCCTCAGCCAGACAATGTTTTGTGAACTCTAAAATTTTTTAGATAATTTAAATAAATTTAATTCACAGGAAAGAGTATCAAAAAAAATTCGTCTAATTCATAGGTTCTTAACCCGAGGACCATAAATAGTTACTCAAGGGTCCACGGGGTGGCATGAGTTTTTTTTGAAATAAGCCAAAAATAAATTTGTTTTGATAGCGTTTTTAAGGTAATAATAATTGTTGAAACATTTGAAAGCCATTTGAAAGAAAACAATGTTTTTAAATATAAAACTTAGATTATGATATTCTTATATGCCATATAAAGTTATCGTAATCGTAAAATAATATAACATGGCAATACAATTTAACGAGCATTTCAATTTAATACGGGAACCTATCACTTCTGTTGATCCGTCACCGTATAATAAAAATTATATTTATTTATATAAATATATATATTTTTTTTTTTTTTTTGAAAGGGGGTCTATAATTATATTTTATGATTTAAAGGGGCCCATGGCCAAGAAAAGGTTAAGAATTTATAGTGTAATTGAATCCTCTAGTAGTCTACAGTTGATTGCTGTTTAATTTATTTTGTAATGATTTAATTATTATCTACATTACTATACTATTATATTATTTTACTTTTTAATAAATACATTCATATCCGTTATTCATAATTAACCATAATTTATATAAGTAAATAACACCGCGCTGAAATGTCCGATGTCTGCTGTTATCAGATCGAACGTCAGAACGCCCCAGTCAGTGCCGCAATATCCGAATTGGTTGCATGTGTTAAACACACGGGCCCATAGCCTCAGCCTGTAATAGGGTTCAATGTTAATATTTAAAAAATATATGGAAAACAAGAAAATAAAACGATTTTGACGATTTTGTAATAATAATTATTGATGGAGATTGAACAATAATTGATTTATTTTGTCTTAAACATATTGTCGTATATCAACGTTTTTTTTGCTGCCTGTATAATCGAAATTCAAAATAGTTTGGTTACAGTAACTGTTGATCAAAGGTAGGTACGGTTTCCCTGTAGAGTTCAGATGTGGGGGCATTAATTTTATTTATACGTGGGTCCAAATTAGTATATTTGCGGCACTGGCCCCAGTTATCTGATTTATATACGAATAGTATATGAGCCTTCTTTAATACAGTTTTTCACAGTTTTTCACAGAATTTCACTTGTTTTTTGAGTGGAGGACACACACATATATACGATATATCTCTGGATGGCCATCCTTATAAATCTTAACTCGTCCTTCCTTTTGATAATTTTTTTAATGTTGCGTGAATATAGTTTTATTAGTTTTTATTCAGTGATATAGTTGTTATAAACATGTATCAAAAATTGGAAAAGTCGTTGAAAACTTTAAACACTATTATTTGGCAACAATATTTATACAGTCACTATATATCTATATGTAATAATTCAAAATAATAACCTAACATTTTTGCGTTATAATTTTTTTTTTACCAACACCGAATTTCTAGGTTAATTTATATTTTTGAAAAAAATTTATAGTATTTGATTAGGTTTAAATCTTAATACCTTAACTACATTTTAAAGTATACAAATGTGTGATTCATTAACTTTAAAGAAAAGGATAATTAATGAAAGTATAGATTCATGGGAATAAATAAGTTACAATTATTATATACTAGTTTATATAATTATTCATTGTATTTATGTAGTTCAGGTACACTTTTACGTAATTTTTTTACATTGCTTTATACTCTAACACATAATGTTACACACCCAGGCATGGATCTAGAACTATAATTGGAGGTAAGTCATTTTTTCAAAAAAAAAATAGAAGATAATACACAATTAAAAATTAATAAAGTAAAATTATAACTTTATTAATTATCAAAATTTTTAAAATTGAATTTCAAAGTTTAATCTTCTTTATTTTATTGCATATATTTATTTAATAATGAACACACAGTACCTAATCTTGATGTTTTTCTTTTTTGGGAGGAGATTCGTTATCTTAAGATCCAGCCTGGATCAACGCTTTTATACACATCATATTAAAAACTTTAAGTAATCATTAATTTGTTTTAATTGTATAATGTATATTGTATTCATATTATTATTTATTATTATTATTTATCCTTACGACCTACTTGTATGTTTATTTTAATAACAATTTTATGTATTTGTAATAGTATATATAATATATAATGTAATGTAATTTGTAATAATATTTATAATTGTATAGTATTTTGTTCAATGTGTATCGTTACAATTTACATTTATACATTTTGATTACTATTAAGTTCTTATAGATAAATATGCAGTAGAATGCTAAATATTATTACTTATTTCGAGTATGAACTGTTGCATATATTATTGTTTTTATAATTTATTTCAATGATTATTTTTTCAAAATTATAAACAACAGAAATTTTAATTGATTATATCTACTTAATTTATATCGCGCCTTGGTATAAAAATACCAGAAAATGCCGATGGAGAAATAGTAACACCATCTTGAGACTTGTCTGGTAATTGGACTCCTTGTGGAACTTTAAATTCAAAATGTTGTAATAATTTCGCGATAAACATAAAGAGATTTGTTTTTGCCAATACTTCACCAAGACATCTCCTTCTACCTATCAAAATTCAAAATCGCTTATTGTACATTAAACATTTCAATTACAATTATATCAAAATAGTATACCTACCAACACCAAATGGCATAAACCAACTATCGTTAATAACATTCCCAGAACTGTCCAGAAATCTTTCTGGTCGAAATACTTCTGGATCACCCCAATGCTGTTTATCCATATGAATACTCCATATACTTGCCAATACTAGAGTATCCTGAAAATGTTTACCTAATTAATTAATATTCTTGGCTATTTATGATACGAAATTGTTATCGAACTTTTGGAATTATGTATTCTTGAATGCTTGTGTTTCGAATAGATCTATGAGCGATCGCTAATGGTGCCACGTTGCTATGCCTTTGTACCTCCATCAAAACAGCTTCAAGATAATTCAATCTATGAAATAATTTATTTTGTATAGCATTGTATTATAATAAGTACTCAAATTAGGTTAGGTTAGGTAACTTAGATTACTTGTTTCTATCTTCAAGTTGTACTTCGCGATCTCCAACTACTGCGTCTAATTCCGCATGTGCTTTAGTTTGTACGTCTTGATGTTTGAGAAGAAGCAAAATAACAAAAGACAACATGCTACTTGTGGTTTCTGAACCAGCTAAAAATAAATCCAGTAAAACAACGAGGAGCTGTTCTTCTGAAAATGATTTAGGTGATTCTCTATTTTTTTCGATTTCCATTAAAAATGCGCCTATAAAATCTTCTTGATCATTTATCTTGTCTCTATGTTCGTCTACTGATTCCTATGATATTTTTTTATTTAATAATAAATAAATTATGGTTTCAAAAAATTGATTTAATTACTTTTAAAAAGGTGTAAAATTCATGTAAAATGAGTTTGATGTCTTTGTATCCAGAACATTTGGGTGCTAAAAAACGGACAAATGGCATTTGATTTAAAATTCCTCCCGACATGTCTAACATTCTAAAACTGGCATGTACTAATTTCATAAGTTTCGCAAGTCTAGAATCGTTCAGCGCGAATCTATTACCAATTAACATTGTCCAAAGTCCATTCAAAACAGATACGTCGAATAAACCACAAACTTCGATAGGTTTACCATTCTAAATACATTAAATTTAATAAAACGTTTATACAATAATTATAAAATATTTTAAAACATACTTGAACCTCATATCGCTTGTTTAAATGTAAAATAAGATCGTCAACTTCTTCACTGATAAGTTTTTCCATTAAATCACCTCCAAATCCCTTTTTACGTAAATGTTGCATACAAAATTTTTTTTGTTCAGTCCATTCAGGTCCATCCACAAACACTATGCCTTGATTTTCAATGTCATAAGTTAGTACTAACTTTGATTTTTTTTATGCTAATAAAATTACCTAGTCTTTTATAAAAAGCTCTGAATCTAAAAAAGAATCCATCTGGTCGACCATCAAAGTCGTCTTTACACAGTACTTGTCGTACTGCATCATAACCAGAAACAACAACCACTTCTAACCGACCAAGTTTAACGGAAAAAACTTGACCATAACATTTAGCTAAATGATCCCACACCAAGTGATAGAATCCAAGTTTGTTTCTAAGTTTTCGAATTTCTAGATAATTTCCAATCAAAGGAAAACGTGTAGGACCTAAAATAAAAAGTGGGTATTTATGCATACAGTTAAATTGTAAATTACAAAAACATTTTTATTTTCATTAATAATAATTAATATACAATAATATAATTATTATAAATACTACTAAGTTACTACTATACAGCCAAATTATGCATATAATACCATTAATTATTTATAAAACGTAAAAATGCTTAAAAATAAATATTTAATAAATAATAATTGTATTTTAAAACTTCTGAGTGTCTTTTCTTTTCAGAATTAAAACTTTTAAAGATGAACTATGTTAGTAATTATATTTTCTTCCCGCGGTGTTCTCTAAGTAACACTAAATAATACCGATTTAATATGTATTTATTTTTTAAGATTGCTAACTGTTTTTTTTTTTAAATAATCAAAACTCCGTCGAGTGAATTGAATAGAATCAGTTATCTGATCGGATTAAGACTTCATAGGGGAAGGTCAGTTATAGGTTAAATGATCACTAACACAAACACAAACCAGAGTTGCCGGAACTTGAATTTGATTGTCACATGATATAATACTGAATACATTTATAATATCATTTTATATACATTTTAATGTACAGCACCTAAGCTAGATTAGTTTTAATTTGGGAAGACAAGCCGAAAGTGAAAGGATATACACAGATTGTATCACTTTAACATTTTATTTTATATTGAATGTACCTTATACCTATATTTATAATTTGTAAATTATAAGTGTTAAGTGTATAAATCATTTAACAAACCTACTCATTGACAAATAATATGTATAAATTGTAGATTTATTTCAATAAAAAAAAAAGTTATACTTATTATGCGCGCTGTTACGTATAAAAACATAGACTGTAAAATTGTCCATAATTAATAAAATTACCTGTACAATAATAATTCACATATGTATTGTATAGACCTATACATATGTCTTACAAATAAGATACAATATTTTTTATGAACCCAGCACGAATAGTAATAACTAGGGAAAGGATTTATATGTAAATACATATTTTTATTAAAAAGAGATATTTAAAATTCGATAAGAAATGTTCATAATTTAAATCATTTCTATTAATATAATGCTACTTTTATTTTACATATTTTCACATATTTTGATATAGTTACATATTTTTACATATTTCATAATTTCATCATTCATACGTCTTCTTCGTACAAAAGTACAAGAAATTATTTCAAATTTGGATCCAGTAACTTCTATCGCTATTAGAAAAGCTCAAAATATTAAGCAAAATGAAACATAAAAACTAATTTAATTTTCATCTCGGTAAATTTTAGTTTTATTGCACATACATTTACAAAATTTGAAATAAAAATATGTCCTTAAATGAAAGTATGCAAATTGTCGAATCAACGATAGCAAAATGAGAACTTGTAAACGGACCAATAGGAAATGTTGTAAAAAAGAAAATTCATGTTGTTACAGAAAAAAATTCCAAGTTATATTGATTTTCAATTAATCAATGACATAATGATTGGCAGACAACCTTCTAAAAATTTGGAATTATCACCTTCTGATATTATGCGCTTCAAATATGCTTTAATCAACCCATGTAGGTTGATGTGGAACGATCATTTAGCCGTTTTAAAAATATTTTCAGATCCAATAGGCGACATTTAATATTTGATAATTTAAAATATATTGTAATAATTCAATGCAACAAATCATTTAGACAATTTAATTATTATAATTTTTTTTTTTTTTTTTTAATTAAATTTTTTCCTACATATTTGGATGTTTTTAGCATATATTTTATAAATTATACTTACATAGATATGTACATATTTCTGTATTTTTATTACATATAAATCCGTTCCCTAGTAATAACATAGGAAACAGTGTTTATGTGAAAAGAATTAAAAAGACTTTTATGCGAAAAGAATAATATACCAGGTGGATTACAGAATTAACAAGTCACCCAATACAAGTACTTGGCTTTACGTTTACATTTAATTTTACTTTTTTATTATATTAAAATAAAAATGGTACCTATGTATAACGGTATCAACAACTGTTCAAGGTTATTAAAACAGATAGGGCCTCTAACACAACGTATGTCTGTACATCCTTCCATCGTTTTACGAAAGGTAATAAAAACATTTTTACTATCAATCATCTGATCATACTATATAATTTATACATTGTTTCTTTAAGAAAATAAATGTACGAAGCCGTGTAGGGATAAAATGTTTTTTATACCTGACCTACCTCAATATCATAACTAGTTTCAGGGTTAACAGTTTCCCCTCCCCTTTGTCTTCTCTAGATTCATGATTCCCAGACAATAATACCCCTTTGGATATCTACCATCAGGTGTATTACGCTCGTGTATTATTACAATACCTATTAAAATTAATTCTTTTCATTTTAAACGAACAGCACCCACATAATTTACGATTCTTTGTACGACATTCCAACCTATATTGTAATAAGAAACGGATTAATAAAAAAATCATTACCATATTATGAAAGTTAGGCCTCTTCTTACATTGTCGACCTTGAATAGGATTTTTAATTCTCTGTATGTCTGAACACGTAATAATTTGAAAATATCTCAAAAATTACTATTTTATCGAATTATTTTGAGATTTATTTACATATTTTAATTTCATTTATAAATGGAGGTTTTACTGTTATGTTATATTTTTGAACGATGAAAAATAATGAATTATCAGGTTATAAGTATATTATAAATACGTTATTCATACAAAGAATGAAAGAAAATATTCCTTGTTTTTTTATGAAAATATATTATATTAAATTACTCGAAAATCATTTCATTAATGAGTCAAATTATAAATAATAACTTTAGGACCAAGGTATAGGTAAGAAAATAAACGTATAACAGCTATACAGTCAATTATAACTAATCGGAATTTCTAAAATAATAATATATATAATTTAATTATTTTGATTAGATTGATTAAAAAAAAATCAGCATTTATTTTCAAATAAATATAAAATACTTATATATTAGTATATAATATAGTATAATCATTTAAATCAAATAATTTACATTATTTTTATGAAGAAAAAAATGTAATGCTTTTTTTATCTTCTGTTACTCGTTAGAATAAATGCAATCATGTAGTTTATGTAAACATTAATTATTATTAGTTTCCAATACCATTTATATTTTCATATAAAGTTTTTTTGTATTAAAAAAAAAAAAAAAATCATAAAATAACAATGTCTTATTTTAATATATGTTAAATATGGTGGCAGTTATACAGTAAAATAATACATATAAAATAATTAAAATAATAATAATAAATAAATAAAATAAAACAAATAAAACTGTTAATACAGTAAATAGAATAAAATAGTATAAATATCATAAATAAATAAATAAAAATTAGAATCCTTTTATAAAAAAAGAATACGTTATGGCTCTAAATTCAATCATATAGTTAATTTAAATAATAATTTAAATCTTACCTGTTGGATATTTGTGCGGCAAAACATTATCTAAAATGTAAAGAGTAATTATTACGCAAATAATAACGACTATGAAAAACATCATGTTTGAACAGTAAAAATTGTCAGACGTTAGAAGTGAGGTAGTGTTGCCTACAACCTGCCTATACACCGAAAGAATGGATTTAATGGATTGAGGAAGATGTTGACTGGTCTCCGGTTCATCTTTTTAAAAACTATGTAGTAGGTACATCGACTTGGAAGGGGTCTTCCATTTATTTCCTTTTATTTGTTCCTTTTATTATTATTTTTTCATCTACGGGTTTTCTAAGTATTTTGGCGATCTTATCCAAAACCATTCACAAAATACGAATACTTTTTGTTTGACACTTGGTCACATTTACATAACACAACAAATTATATTTAAAAAATATATTATTCTATTATGAATAATTTAAAAAACCAAACTATTTCGATTTTGAACCAAAAACATCGTTTTACTAAAAACATAAATTTTCATACTAAATGAATGAATATTATTGAACAATAGTAAGTATTAAATTATCTATCCCATATAATATATATATTATTACTCACCTCATAACATATAATACTATATATCTACTGTTATTTACATAAAATACATACATGTTGTATTTCATATTGAAACGACGGTAAATTTGATAAATTAAAAAAAAAATTAAATAAACATAATTGTATTAACTATTCAAATGTTTATTTGAAATTTTATTGGGTTATGGAAATACTTATATTTAATGTTTGGTAACACAAAAAATATATATAACCTTAAACCTACATTTTATAAACAATGAATTTTTCAGCATTTAATTTAATTAAATAATTTAATTTAATTAAAAAAAAAAACAAATGCTAAGACATATTAACTATACTCTATTTTAACTATTAAAACTTTATTTTAAAATATTATGTAGATTGCCTTTGTTTCTCGGTATTGAATAATAAGAATAAAAAAAAGAATGTATGATATTTTAGTTAAATACTTGCTATAAGTTATATTTTATTTTATAATGCCTTAAGACTTAAGGCTTAAGGTATAAAAGAATAACATTTGTTTTGTAGTTAATTTTAGGCTGTTATTAATCTCTAATTTAAAATAAAGAACAAGATTTAATATTTTAAATTATTTAAATGAATTATTTGCGCATTTGCTCAACACCATATGAAATTATTAGTCATTCGTAAATATACAAAATAAAAAATTGGTAATAACTTAATAATAAAACAAAAACAAGTAATTTAAATAATTCTGATACAAATCTATTGTATTACATATAGGTAAAACTGTACAATTAAATAAATACGTAAATAAAACACCATGTGTTTTTATAAACAAAAATGTATTCGTATATAGATGGTTATGATAGTAAAAAATATAAAATTGATTGGCCAGTTGGAAATTGTTAAAAATTGTTACCAAATAATAGTATTATCATCTAAATTCTAGTCCAAATGTTCAAGATGCTAGCAGAGAACCAATATAAAAAAAGTGTCATTATCAACAACATAAATAACAATATAATAGTTTCAAGAAAACCTATAAACAATTATTCATAAGATACTAAGCTGTGAGAAGCGCTAAATATACCAATGTCAACATAACGATACACTCACTATCTTGAATATAAATGAAAATGTATCAAAAATATGTTTCCCTTTTTAGATTGTTCCTAGTTATCCATAGACTACGAAGAATTCGTTTTTACACATGACAATAATATTTGTATAAATTATAAAACGACTATTCATTTACGCTTATTGTTATATATTATATTTTAGTCCTTTTTTAGTTCTAGTTTCCTTAAAATAACAACTTGTTTGTATAGAACAGTTATAAATATGTGAAAATAAAAATATATTTAGCTACTATTATAACTACGACCAACCAGTGTTTTTAAAATATATTCAAATATTACTCAATTACTTTCAAATATATTTTTATTATTTTTATTATTCAAATCATATTTATTATCAATGGATTTTACGCGGTCAACTTTTGATAAAATTATCATGAAAATAAAAATTGCAGTTTGATCGTTATGCGAAATATTAAAATATTAAAATTTTTTGACTGACGAATAAAATAGGATAATGAATATAGTTACGAAAAATGCTGCTGTACTTTAATTCAAAAAAAAATTTGCCGTTCGAGCGATGGTACTCCCTCGCCCCTCCCACTAAATACGTCCCTAGAAACAACACGTCACTTCATCTAGGGACTACCGGATAAATTACAAATAACATTTAGTTATACTTACAATCAGTGGCATGACGAAGGTATTATTTTGGAGCAATTAGTCTTTTAAAATTGTTGGAGAATGGGTGGTCCTCCTGTGACAAAATACATAGCCATACTAAATATATCACAGAAAATAGAAATATACTAAGTGTATACTGCGTGTAAATATATGTCTTATTTATATGACTTATATCTTACACTATACAGCAACGTTTCTCATCCTTTTTTCATTCACGTACCCCTTCAGCTCTCACGTAGGTACCAAAAACTGTCGATTGGTCTATTTTCACATAAGATTGATAAAAAATTATAAAATTAATTTTAATAGAAAACAAAATAAATAATTATACATTTTACAATTTCAATTTAGTATAATCCTTGGTGTTGTTTGGTAACACTTCATTATTGAAAACTAGTTTCACATATAAAACTCGTTAAGTGTGAACTCACAAAAAGTATATTACGATACTTATTTTTAATAAACGTGTATGACAATAAAGCCTTTTCCACAAACGCAGTGTTCGTTATTAAATACTTCATAAATAATATATATTTGATCACATACATTTTTACATTTTCCCTCATTACCATTTTTCCCCTGAGTGCCCTGTCGTATTTTTTCGCGTATCATAATATGAGTATCCCCGGATGAAAAACGTGATTCTATATCATAAAACTTGTTAATTATAGTTAAATAACATTTTTAGTAAATTAGTACACCGAAAACATCAGTCTGTTGCTTACAGTGCATTATTAGAAAAACAGATGAGCTCTAGTTAGTTTCTAGAAATTTGCTCAATGACCGCTATTACTTATACTCATATCATATATTAAAGTATAATAATAATATAGAATAAGATCCCCGACTCCTGTTCAATTTTTACCGTCGAAGCTCTTGCGACCTCTTACGCCCTCGATATAATAAAAGAAGACAGTATAAAAAAATCTATTATAATGTGTGATTCTCTTAGTACTCTAATTTTATATGTGTCTTGTGGGATCGTAATGTATTCCCGAAGTGGCCTGCAAGATCATTTGGGTTGGCCACCCCTGGTCTATCTAAAAACTTAAAACGCAAATCTTCGAAAATACGAAAGTATTTACATAAATTTCAAATTTTAAAAGGTATATTTCATAAATTCTTTGACGTAGCTCTTTTAAAAATAATGTTTTATGACTTTATTATATATTACATATTTTTCAGTAGAGGGGCTGAACTGTTTTCTGGAGGGGTTCTAGAGCCCCCTCCCTTACCTCTCCTTAACGGCGTGCCTGAATCTGATATGTTTTACAGACAATACCATAATATAATTATAGGTTTTTTTGGAATGAATTTGAATGTCTACCCTATTTTACAGGTTAGCCGGACAACATCAACTATTGGTATCACTGTAGATATTTCATCATCCCACTTTTCACTTTTTACCGTCCGGCGTCCAAAGCACGTATCACGTTTTTCTCTCTGTCAGCGAGCTCGTGGAAGTTTTTCTTGTGTTCTCTATTTTTCTTTTTGAACATAAACTATTCATCCCCCGCTGCGACTAACGAAACCGAAATGGCCATTTAATTGCTTATACTCATTTTGCATGTTCATACCTGCTAAGAACTATAAAATTTTTCGGTTTAGTGTCTGTTTTCGTTTTCACCAATCACCATGTCTGATAATCCATCTGGAAAACTCAAGGAACAAGACCTATCAAACTTAGTAAGTGTTAACTCTTTTTGCAACGTTAAATGTTGAAATCCGCCGTTTAATTTGCTTCGTTTCATTACAGGATGTTACTAAATTGACACCATCTTCGCCTGAAGTTATCAGTCGTCAAGCTACAATCAACATAGGTAACATAGTCATTTTATCTTGGTGGACTGATATTTATCATAATGCAAATATTGTGAACCTGTATCCCTGGAGTTTGTAATAATAATATTAATAAACAAACTGCTTTTACTTATAGGAACTATTGGGCATGTAGCGCACGGAAAGTCTACTATAGTGAAAGCTGTTTCTGGAGTTCAAACTGTCCGTTTTAAAAATGAACTTGAAAGAAATATCACGATTAAATTAGGTAAATATTACTATTTTATCATCTACTAAATAATACTACTGTAATATACTAAAATCCAGTTAATGTTTATGATTGATAGCTGTTAATTAATATTTATTTAATAATTATATACTTGATTAAATTTATTCTGTAAGTTGTTCTTTTCATATTGATGATAAATTATGTAAGGATAGTCCACCTCTTTAAACATGTATTAATTGATAAAAGGAATTATTAACTGTTACCTAGATGTATATCACATGAAAGTGTGTTAAAAACTTAAATACATGTGTTCTTTTTTGAATTTATTTAGTTGATTCAAAGACATTTCCCTGCAATCTTCAATTTATTTCCTTTGAGTAAAGTACATTTTATTAATATGCACAATAAACTTATAAATGTTGTGTATCAACTATATTTAATTAATTGTTTCTATGAAGATATACATTAAATTATTTTCCATTACTAATAAGAATTGAAGTATGGAGCAATTTAAAACTAAGGTGGGGAAGTATGAGTTTTGTTTGAAACTATTATATTTACCGTGGTTTATTTATTTCAAGTGTTTGAAGCAAAATAACTTAATCAAATTTAAAAAGAAAAAATTACTAATATATAACAATCTACACATGTATACCGTTAAAATTATAAACAACCAATTTATGTTTCGAATTATTGAATATGTAATTATATGCAATTAAGTTTGTAGATTTTAAATCTAAACTTGTAAATTAATTTTGTGTCGATTACCAATAATTATAGTTTTGCAATAAAAAAACTAAAAAAAAATATGTAGATATGATTTATTTTATATTAATAATGAATCTTGAAAATCTTGAGCTTAAGTTTTTAGTATATTTTTAAATTTTACTAAGAAATTAGTTTACAATATTTTTTAATAAAGTATTAATAGTCAACTTAAGAAATGGGTACTTAACATTCACATTTAATTTTTAGACTTTTTTTGTTTTATTTTATTATTTATATTTTCTTGCATTTAATATATTTATGTATGTTTACTTAAAATTATCATGAGGTAGGTTACATTAATAAACTATTTATTAATTCATTGTAATTGTATATTAAATCAACCACAAAATTTATCATATATGTTAACATTGGATTTATAATTATGGTTACTTTTCTATTTTCATAGAATATTTGATTTTGTATTAATTTTTAAGATCTTTTGCTTTGTAATTATATAATTATTTTTTTGAATTATTAAATTAATCATTGTATAAATATTTAACATTTTTTCGTTAAATGTTGTATTATGATAAAATCACTTTGGATTATTTTTAAAAATAGTTACAGCTGTTTTTATATTAAATGTGTTGCAGACGAAAAGCAGAAAAATCCAAATACTAGCAAAAATAGTCTTAAGAATAAAGTAAAAAGTTTAAGAAAGAGAAAAATTCTAAAAGCCAACTGTGATCCATCGAAGATAAAAATTTATAGATGTAATGAAGAAAGCTTAGACAATATTGATGCTGAATTATCATGTACTAAAAAATGTATTTTAGAAAATGATGATGAATCTTCAGTTAATTCAAAAGATTCTACATTTTCAGTATCGCAAAAAGAAAACTCGATGTTTGAAACTGATGCCAGCTCCAATAGTGGTCAGGGTGATTTTGAAATATCTAACAGAGATCAAAATAATGTTCAAAAAGTAACTAATTTTGATAACTCTAGTAGCAGGTATGAAGCTGATGATGCATTTGAGATTGATCCTAAGAACTCTATTGTGGGTATTAATGAAAAATCTAATGATAGCTTTCATTCAAATTCAACAATTTGTAGCTCAAGTTCAACTGTTGCAAATAATAATAACATAAATAGATATTACCAGAATCGGGAACTCAATGATGTTATCAGTGATAATATTTTTTCATTAGAACGCAATTTACTTGATACTGCATTCATAACCATTCCTTATGCACCCAATAACAAATTTGAGGTTACATTTAATTACATGACTTCTGATGAAAGAATAAAATGTTTTATACTTGAAGGTGGAATGATTGAACCAAATGATTATAGTGATGCTTATGATCCATCTGAAATAGAGGAAATTATCAATGATGTATTGATTAATGGTATACATTACTATTTAATAAAATGGAAAATATGGTCTCGAGGATTTAATACATGGGAACGTTTTGGAAGTCTATACAAATCTCAAAAACTTTATATTGATTATATGAAAAAGAAAAACAATGAAGTTGATATCTATAAACCTATTAATGGAATACATCTGATGCTATCCAGAAAAGTTATTTCGAAATTATTCAATATGTTTAGAACTGAGACAGGTTTATCTCTACCTTTAATTTCACCTGAAGATTTATCGAATATATTTAATTGCCTCGATATTGGTTCTAGAAAGTCTCAAATCCAGCGAAAAAAATGTTTAAAATTTTTTTTGACTACTATTTCTTTAGGTAGTTTTAGACAACAACAGTTACTAAATCTCAATCAGTGGGAGATAGACATTAATTTAGTGACTAAAAAATACAAAATTAAAGTAGAAAATAATATTGATCTCGAAGGGCCTCCAGATCTATTTGTGTATGTTTGTGATTACATTCCTCGAAATAACATTATTATACCTAATGATCCTCCAATTGGTTGTAATTGTAAAAAAAATTGTCAATATTCTAATGAATGTTGTAATGAACTGTCAGGATGTGAAACTGCTTATGATGCAAATAAAAATATAATATTGGCCCCTCGAAACCCTGTGTATGAATGTAATAAAAAATGTAAATGTACAGTTCAATGTAATAATAGAGTGGTTCAGCTTGGTAGTGAAGTAGAAGTTTGTATCTACAAAACAAAAGAATATGGTTGGGGTGTTAAAACTCGTCAAACAATTCAAAAAGGTCAGTTTATAGCCAGTTATGTTGGAGAAATTATTACAGTTGAAGAATCTGAACAGCGTTTAGAAAACAATTTTTCTTCTATGGATTATATGTGGAACTTGGACTTTAATGATCAAAAAAACTATAAATATATAATAGATGGTTCACATTATGCTAACTTTACATATTTTATAAATCATTCTTGTAATGCTAACTTAGATGTATATGCTGTGTGGATTAATTGCTTGGATAGAAACCTTCCACAATTGGCATTATTTTCTAACAGAACAATTTCGGCTGGTGAACAACTTACGACCAATTATTTTTCCCGGTCTTCTCCAGCAACGTTGAAAAGAAGTGGCATCAGATGTCAATGTAATATGAAAAACTGTAAAGGCTACTATTTTTAAAACTAATAACACAGAATTTTAATTCCTTATTTCACTCAAAATGTATTTTTATATTTTTGTAATAATTTATAATTGTAAAGTTTATAAAAGTTCTAAAGATTGGTATATTTTAATTAGTTTTTTTAAATTTGAATTTTTATTTTTTTATACTGGACTTTAAATATAGGAATATTATTTTTATACTACTATATTTGACTTATTATTATTGCTAAAAGTATATACATATATGTGTATTATAAATGTACTTATTATTTATAGTCCTGATTTTAATTAAATGAATTTAAAATACTATTGGTGGATTATTAATTCTTCAATGACAAATATATAAAACCTTGCTTTATGTTAATTTGTGTTGAGTTGACATGATTAAAGTTAGAATACAAACAATAATTATAACTAAATTTAAAAAGGTAAGGGGTAATTCAATAAATTATAATTCCCAAGTTTTTAAATTTTAAAGTTCAATATTGAATAAATCAAATATAATCGTATGCAATACTTTGTTGTAATCATTAATAAAAATTTTGGAATTGTCTCAGTACAAGAAAAATTAGGACATTTTATTCTTTAATATGTACTCTTATTCTTAGATTATGTTGTTGTTATAAAAATATTCCATCTTCATTTTGATGTATTTATAAATAAAAATGTTTTCTACATTGGAAAAAATAATTGTGTGTTTCATATTATTTACTTACTAAATATAATAAAATTAAGTTATTTTTGTTTGTGTATTTTTTTTTATTATTTTAATTAAGTCTTACGAATCACCTATTTATATTAAAATGTATTAAATATTTTAAACCAACAAATGTTTACTGTATTTCTATATTCTTTGTTCTATTTTGATTATAAGTTTTTTTTTTTTTTTGACGTGGATCGTTCAATATTTTAAAATACTTGAAATTCTATATTTTCATTAAACATGTTAATATCTTAAATGCATTTAAAAAAAATAAATTTTATTATATTATAAAAAAGATTCTATTTTAAGAATTAGGTGTGATTTTATGTTGCAATATTCCAAATAGAAAAAATATAAATATTCTAAAGCATAATACTATAAAAATTATAATAATTCTTATAAATTTGTATAGCTCCTTAATTAAAAGCTTTTTTTTATTATATAGGATATGCTAATGCAAAAATCTACAAATGTAATTTTGATAAGTGTCCACGACCAGCTTGTTTTGTATCTGGTGGATCAGGCCGCGATGATTCATTACCTTGTTCAAGACCAGGTTGTCCAGGAAGATTTGAACTAGTTAGACATGTATCTTTTGTAGATTGTCCTGGTCACGACATTCTTATGGCAACTATGTTGAACGGAGCTGCAGTAATGGATGCTGCATTATTGCTCATTGGTAAAATAATTACTTAAATGTTCTTTAAAATTATTCAAGTTTATACAAGTATATATATTAATATATTAATTATATATTTATAAAATATTTTCTTTGCTTTTCAGCTGGAAATGAATCTTGCCCTCAACCACAGACATCAGAACATTTAGCTGCTATAGAAATTATGAAGCTAAACAATGTTATTATTTTGCAAAACAAAATTGATTTGGTAAAAGAAGGTCAAGCCAAAGAACAACAAGAACAGATACAGAAATTTGTTCAGGGAACTGTAGCTGAAGGTGCACCTATTATACCCATATCAGCTCAACTTAAATACAACATGGAAGTATTGTGTGAATATATTTACAAAAAAATCCCAATTCCTGAGAGAGATTTTACTTCACCACCACGATTAATCGTTGTTCGATCATTTGATGTTAATAAACCTGGATGCGAAGTTGATGACCTCAAAGGAGGAGTTGCTGGTGGTAGTATCCTACGTGGTGTTTTAAAGGTTGGCATGGAGATTGAAGTACGTCCTGGTTTGGTATCCAAGGATAGCGAGGGAAAACTAACTTGTCAGCCAATATTTTCACGGATTGTGTCTTTATACACAGAACAAAATGAGTTGAACTTTGCTGTTCCCGGAGGACTTATTGGTGTTGGAACTAAAATTGAACCCACCCTTTGTCGGGCTGATCGTCTTGTTGGACAAGTGTTAGGAGCTGTTGGAGCTTTACCAGATATATTTATTGAGTTAGAAGTTTCATATTATCTTTTGAAACGATTGTTAGGTGTACGTACAGAAGGAGATAAAAAAGCTGCAAAGGTATGTATTGGTTAGGTATTTCTAATGTCCAAGGTTTTATCTTTTTAAAATTAATTACACAGGTTCAACGGTTATCAAAAAATGAAGTGCTGTTGTTAAATATTGGTTCTCTATCCACTGGAGGAAGAGTTTTGGCTACAAAAGCTGATTTAGCTAAAATCAGTTTAACAACACCAGTGTGCACTGAGATTGGCGAGAAAATTTCACTTAGTCGTAGGGTTGAAAAACATTGGAGGTATGTAGATTATTAACATTCATAATGATATTTAACAAAAAAAATTAATGAAATTATTTTACTTCATAAATTATTGAAAACTATACTGAAAAAGTATTTAAAGCATTTATTTAAGTCTAAAGTATTTAATCATTAATCATTTTATTTTTTTCATTATTTTCATTATTATAACCAATACATTTTGTTTTTGTTGTAGACTTATTGGATGGGGCTTAATTCGTGGAGGAGAAACGATACAGCCTTCAAAACCTCAAACGAGCTGAAAATGTGAACAATTTATTTTTCACATGTGTATTTATTACATTATTACTTCAATAAAGAAGACAAAAATAATACAATTATTTTTAAATAATCTATAGAATTTTTTAATAGCAGAATTATAAAAGAAAACATCCACTTTACAGTTGTTTAATAATTATTATTTTATACTAAAAGTATTCCATTGGTACCAAACTAAATATTGCTTTAACATTTAAACAGCATCCTGGATGATTTCAGTGTATTTTTTAATTTTTGTAGCAACGCTCATATCAACATATTTGTCTCCAATGCTGACAACCATTCCTCCAATGATAGTAGGATCAACTTTCAATTCAATCTTTATAGTCTCTCCTTTCTTTGCAAACGCTTGCAATGTCTTTTTAAGCTCTTGTTGATCAGCTGAATCTAAAGGCTATGTAAAATATTAAAAAAAATAACATTATGTATTGAAATACTAAAAAAATTATAAATTAGTTCCTAATTTAAAAAAATATTGATCAACACAATGAACTCAAATGCTGGGAATCTTAAATTATTTTTGAACCATTAAATATACCTTAGCTGTAGTTACAACACATGTTAAATCTCCTCGATGAGCAGCCATAATGATTTTGAAACTATTAATGATTGAATTTAGATTCCTTAATCTTCCATTTTCAGCCAACAAACCTAAAAATATATTGAAATATAATATATATATATATTAGGGTGTTTCTTATTTTTTTATTGGACTTTTTTTAATACAATAACTCTCCTCCCCCCAAATTTAATTTGTTAAGTATCACTCAAATTCTGGTGCCACATTAGAGATGCAAAAATGGCAAAAGTGGAAAGTTTTTTTTTTTTTTTATTTAATTCAGAAACTATAGGATTTAACATGTACATGTAAAGTAACTTAATAATAGATTTTAATATTTTCTAAAATCAAGCATTTTAAATAAATTCATTGTTTTTATAAAAAAAAAAAATTAACAAGTATCAAAATATTGTAGATAATTATTGAAATTTAATTATAATGTTATATTATTAAAAAAAAATTTATCATTAAGTTCTTTACATGTTCATACTGAATTAAATAAAATAAACAAAAAAATACCTTTTTTTGCTATATTTCAATCCTAATGCAGCATCAGAAGGGGTTAAGTGAGACCTACCAAATTTTACCTAAATTATTCACATATATGACTTAACAAATAGGGGATGTACTTTGTTAACTTTTCATAATAAAATATTCCACCTCTATAAATAATATATTTTACATATTTAAAGATATACTTAAAAATAAATAAATATATCATTATAATATAAGGTATAAATTTCATTTTTCATAAAAATAATTGAAATACTATAATTTTAATTTAAACTGAATATTTGGAAACTACCGACAAATGACAGTTAATATATACTATATAAAACTTAATTGAGACAAGACTTATAGAATAAGTACTTTATGTTATTAGTTGTACTTATAACATTTAAAAAGAAGTATAGCTACAACCGCTACATGACAACTAAGTTACAAAAAAACGTAATTATTTTTTTTTAATTCAAACATCTATTATTAAGTGATTGATTATATAAATTTGGATTAGTTATTAATATTGATTTGACTAGCAAGCCATTTAGAGTGAAATTGTTCCAGATGCTTTGAGAGTTAAATTTAATACTCATATATTTTTCTGTGTTTTTTCTATTTAATACAAATATGTAATAAAATAAAATTAAAATCAACTCTCATACATTAAAAACCGATAAATAAATGAGAATTAAATTTAACTCACATTGTGTATAAAATGAATTCAGTGATAGTTAAATATAATGCTCAAACCTGTCAACTTACTAGAAAAAACAAAAATTCAAACTTATCAAACAATATAAAAGTATACCAAATTTAATACATTTATTACCAAAGATAGAAAAATAATCAAACATCGCATGAATGGACTTATATAAGGCATTAACCCTTTGTCGACCAAGCATCGAATTAAGATATTTTTTAAATTTTTTTTTGCACAAACATGTTATATTTGACCTATATAAGAC